AACAATACTGGATGACATAATATCAAATAGGTTTACAATTATGTAAGTACACCTTGTAGGCTATACTTCATTAGTTCCAGGTTTACAGTTGTGATACCGTGAGATGTTATTTTGGGTCTTTATTTTAGGCTTATGTAAGGCGGTAATTAATTCTTTATGTTATTGTCATTAAGTGGGTAATGAGTCACAAAACAAATAAACAAAACATTTCAGAGGTGGGGGTGCCAAAAGTGTCTTTTCCCCTGGGTGCTGAGAACCCTTGTTATGCCACTGCCATGGTGTGCACATGTTTGAGTGATTTCTACACACTATTACAGGTACCTTAGAAGGCAGACTGTGAATTGATCCTTGTAGTACAGTGTGTGCAGCTAGAGGTGGAGTGTTTTTGTCAGTTACTGTGCCAGTCTGGACTCGTGGTGTGCAAAGTGTGGCTGAGGAATGAAAAACATTGTGTGCGTGTGTTCAGAAGTTAAACAATACAAACATGAAAATAACACACAAATTATCACTTTGTCCATAATATTTTTGCATTTCATTGCATCTCTCTGTTTCCACACTGAAATCTGAAATGCTAACTCAGGCAATATGTACAACTTTTAAGTCTGAAGTAATTTGGTTGTATAAAGGACAACCTCAGTCATTATACAACATTTGGTTGTTTAACAGAATTTCTGGTTATCTCAGATGACTGTTAAATTTGTTCATTAAAATTTTATTGACCATATTATTTTCAGGCTGTTACAGGTTTTTTACAATTTTGCATCTACACTACATTTTCATGTACCACAGTTCAGGATAAACAAACTAACTTCCTAAATTACTGTACCTAAATACAGTATTTCCTCTAGATTTTCATATATTTTTGCCACTAGTTTTTAAGGCACTTTTACATGCTAATTCTAAGTACTTAAACGATTATAACTCAAATATTTTAGAATTGATATTTTGTCATATTCTAACACTTATTTAGTGTAATTCATGAAGAAAAAGTTCATAACTTTATAATGAAGCAGTATGTATACAGGTTTTCATTTTTTTATAATATCTGTAAACATGCCTCTTATCGTGAATTGTGAAAGTATTTTTGTGTAAAATTATATCTGTTTGAAAGCTACAGAAATTGACTTCAAATAGAAGGCATCAGATTGCTTGAGATAAGATAGCTAAATTTGTATGGTTTATAGGGAGGTTGAATAGGTAACAAAGAAAACTTCATTATAAATTTAATACAGTAACAAATCTAAAATGTTTGAAGAAGGTTTTGTCATCATCAAGTTGAATTAGTTTATTTAGATACAGGAATATACATACAGTACAAAGAAAAAGCCACATTACTGGGGATTGCTTATGGTATAATAAAGGTATCTTGTTGACATTTGGTTTTGTTTAAAATTACGGTGTTTTTTACCTTTTAATAGATACAGTATGGTTTTTATTGAGTTGCACTGTTTGTAAACATGATATTTCTTTAGCTTGATCACCGAATATAATCATTAAACCTGATGAATTAATTTTACTCTTTAATGATTATGGAAGGAAATTGGAAAATATTTTGATGACACAAACTGTGTTGAATATTGTTTTTATTTTTATCCTATTCGAACAGCATACATGAATAGACTAACTGGCTACATAATTATTATCGTGATATATTTTAAATGTTTTCCTTACTTAATTCTCAATTTATTTGATTTATGGAAGATCAGTGTGGGATCCCTGCATATTTGAAAAACAAACAGTGGTAATCGTGTTGTGGTATGTAGTAGACATCAGTGATTTATCTGCCAAGTAAGAAATAGCAGTAAAACTTGTGGGGAAAGTTTTTTACAAATTGGAACCTTTAGAAGAAGTCTATCATATGAAACCAAGGGTAATTTGAAAATTACCTTTAAAAAACAAGGAATGTAAAAGAAAATAGGAAAGTTAGTACCATATTAGAATAAAGCAGTGGTTGAAAAAGTTAAGATGATAAGTTTTTATTTTATTACTTCTACAATTTGTAGAGGGTGTGATATACTAATATAATTGAATATTGTCTATTATTGAGTCCATCGGTTCATTGTTTGACAACTAACATTTATCACCCAGTTCTAGCTGTGGTCAATTTTTTTCAATTTTGTTTGCGTATCTTATGTTTGTGGTGAGTCAGAGTCAGTGTACTGTGATTATCAGCTGATATTGTGGGTGATAGTTCAGGGGTTTGGATAACTATAGCATTGTTTTTGAAGTGGTTCTACATTCTACAAAAGAAATTTTGAGATCCACATGTTCAATTTATAACAGTGTATCTTTTTTGAGGTGTAGCTTAGGAGCACCTTAAACTGTGATTCTCATAAAAGTAACAACTGAGACAGGATTGTGAAACTACTATATATATAGTGAATGACCCATTTATTTGTATTTCATATCATGTGACCGATTACTGTGTACCTAGTTTACATAACACTGAACTGGAGGTGATTGACATGATTTTGTGGCAGTGGTATTTGATTTATAATAACTATGATATTACCAGGCATCTTTAAATTGTGTTACATGGTATAGAAAGTAAATACATGTAGATATTTTTATCATTCAGTTATTTTTGGTCTTTACGTTTGTTTTCTCTTTCCAGCTTATTGCTATATGGTTCTTGAATGAGTGGACCAAAGTAGGTAAACCCAAGCCACTCTATGTAGTTGAACTAGGACCCGGAAGAGGAACACTGTCAGATGATATGCTGAGAGTAAGTATATTTATTTACATGATTTACCTATATGTATATTCCTGAATACAATTCAGATTTGAGCTAACCGTTGGTATCTGACAAATTACCAACCCAATCCAAAGAATGGGAACAAAGTTTTAAAAATTAGAGGCTTTTAGTTGAACATTTCAGCATTAAAATTCTGATCACAGTGTTTTCATGAAGTCAATGTAGTTGACAAGTCTGTCACAGTTAAGTTGGTGCTGAATTTCTTATCCAAATTAAAAACTTAATGTATAGGATGTATAAACATCTGTAAGTTTTTTTAGGTTTATTTTTCATCTATAGTATAGTGTAATGTAAACCTGTATGGCACAAATGATTTGCTTTCAGTTGTGTAAATTAAGTGTGAAATTAACATTTTATCTAAATATATTCTCACTCAGCTTCAAATGTTTTAAAAGGAGGACTCATTAGAAAGCAGGATTGTTGTAGTTTCTGTTAATGAATGATTTTATTTCATCATTAATAACTGGTGTTTTCAGAAATGAGGAGATAATATCAGTTTTGTTTTAGCTTTTGTTAACCCTCTTACTATGGGTAGGTCAATAGTGCATGTCATAACCTTTTACTTTCAAAACTACCAAAATATTTTATTATCAGTATATATATATATATATGAATAAACTTTACATTTGTAAATCAAATTTTAATATTAGTAAGTGTTAATTTCTTAATTGTAAAAGGAAATATTTAAATAAATTCTCAATCTCCTCTTGTATACAGTCTGTATTGTGGGATTATTAGTTAAACATGGTTCAAAGGGCAAGAAAACAAAATTAAGTAGAAGCAGATATAGTCTGTTTTTTGAGCCTTAAGCTATATAGGATAAACAATTGTAGTTTTCTTTTACAGTCTGCAGTCAGTCTAGAAAGAAAAAAGGGTAATTTAACTTTATTTCATCATTTTTGTGTTAGTTACAAGATTGGTAAAAATGACTGAATCTCTACAGAGTTAAGGTAGAGAAAGTAACATAAGACATAAAGTATTACTGAAAAAAAGTTTGATATTCATTTATGAGGTTTTAGAGGTAATGCAAATAAAATTTGAAACTGTAAGATGAATAAAAGTATTTGTAATCTTAACATGTAAATCACTTTGCTTTCACATTAGTCAATAGTCTGACTCCATATATTCATGAACGAATTTTTTAAAAAAGTCTGTGATTAAAAAATTTGCTTTTTTGTGTACAAAAGGCTTGTTTAGTAAAAGCTTGCCAAATTTCATGAATATATACATATCACATTAGAAGTTATAATATGGATACTGATACTTTCATGGTTACCTGGTAATTACAGTATCAGTCAAAATGACCAAGCCCATATGGAAAGAGTTCAAGAATGATTTTGTTATTTCATCATCAATAACTTTACTATTTTCGAAAATGGTGAGCTAATATCCTGTGTTTTTGTAGGCTGTTGTAATTTTACAGGACTTGTGTGAAATCTTGAAATGTTCCTACTCTTCAGTGAATCTGAATGAGTTATGTTGTTAGTATGTAACCTAATAAAGTCACTTATCTTTATACAAGCCAGTGAAGTATATTGTTGCATTCTTTTATGAATGTATTTAGTATTGTATCATAATTTCTAATACTAAAAGAATTATTCCATTTTATGAAAAAAGATTGATTTTTTGCACTATTTTGATTCATGGTTGTAGAAATGAAAGACGTAGTATCAATGTGTAAAAACATTAGCTATTAATAATCTGTACCTACCTTGGACCTATCCCAGGATAACTATCATGATCACAACTGTGGACAGTAAAGGTTAGGAGGGTTTAGGATGCTGTGGGTTGAAGCACCTGAACCTATGCCATTTTTTACATTTTCTGTTGCATACTACCATATTTATTCATTGGCTTTCTGGATTATGACAGAATATCCCTAATACTTTTTTATTATAATTACTGCAGATATTCTCTTTGAATTCTGTAGAATCTTATTTCATTTTTCACTAGTTATTGGTAGTGGAAATTTTCATCTTCTCATTAAATCATTTCGTTACATAATGTAGTATCATCACTGTGATATGGTGCTGAATTACTGCTGGCTTAAAACAAAGGAAGAACTTGTGACATGGAAATTAAAGATTTGTTTACTGAAAAAACAGCTAATATGTTTTTAAAACTTAATGCTGTTAAAGTTCCTAACTTAATCTACACATGTAAATATAGTATTAGTAGGTTTATAGGAGTTTATTGTGAATAATTTATTGATTTTTATTTATTTCATTTTTACATTTTTATTATATATTATTCAGTAGTATGATTATTTTGCATTTTTAGCACAGTATATGGATTTAGGATTAATCTAAATCTCCTAAGCTGGCCAAACTTTTGAGATATTGTTTGGATTATGGTTGACAATATTGCTAGCAGTGAGGTACCTAATTGATGAATCAGTGCATTCTAGTCATTAAAATTAACTAGTTAGAAAGAAATATTAAATTAGCTATGTTAATTTTTAATCTGATTTATTTAGATAGTTATGTTTATTTGATAAATGTGATAATGCCCAGTCCATACTTGAAGTGTAGAGTGTTTAATTACATGAAGTTGTGCACAACAGAAATTATTGTACCATTTTTTTTATCCCACAGCTAACTAGTCATTTGTAAACCTTTTTGCTAGGGGAAACAAATTTCTTATGTCTAGCTTACTCTGAGGATGAGTTCATATATGTCTTTTTTGTTCTTTGCTTTGCTTGAAAAATACAGGTGGTTTCACATTACTGCAGTCGTATAAAGTGGAAGACAAATCTATGTATTTTGTTATAATATCATAACTTCTCAGACAGGACCAACATCCTGATGCCACCATCACTTTAATTTACTCTTTTTGTATGTATGTGTGTGTGTGCACAAACAATAACAATATTTCTGGTACTTGCTGCATCTTTTTGCTCCTTATGGAATATTTCTTCAGTTTACTTCAGTAAATAAGCCATTTTGCTTAGTGAGCATGGTGTTTTATTTTCATTATATTGAAGGTTTGCATGAAATGCATATGAAGGAGTATTATCATTGTGTTTTATATAACTTTAATTAGTATTTTTAGGTTTCTAAATAGTGGGACATCCAAGTGTCTTTTAGCCTATCAAGAATGTCCTGACTCCTGATCTCCCTTAACAAGCAGAACGCCAATTATATTTGTCACATTATTCGTGTTACTAATTTGCTGTGACAGATGTAATTGATTATAACCATGTCTCATCAGTAAAAGGAGTTCACACCATATCAGACAGAAAACTACTCACTAATCCTAGTCCTGATCCCCCAATTATTCATCAACCCTTTTTTTCTAACTCCTGCAAAGTTGCAACCTCTACCATTCTAAATAACAATTTGTTTCACAGATTTACTTGTGTTTTGGAGAAATAAACCTGCATGAACTTGATGTGTGTTTGACCTTTTGAAAGCTTAAACTTATTATGTTTGGTCCTACTGCCTTCAGAATTCAACATGAATCTGACATATCGATCTTAGTCAATTCCCTTAATACTCTTGAATAAGTCAGTTAGATCACCCTTGACCCTTATCTTTTCAAGAGAATAAAAATACACAAATCAATAAATTATCCTCACATGGCATTCTGTATATCTGTAGAATCATCCTTGTAGCCCTCCACTGAATATTTTTAACAACTCAACATCCTTCCTAAGATAAGTGGTCCAAAACTGCACACAATACTCCAAATTAGGCCTAATTAATAACTTGCGTATTGAAACCATGGTCTGTTTATAATTGAACATACCTATATATATATATATACACACACACACACACACACACACACACACACACACACACACACACACACTACATACAACTCAAAATTCTGTTAGCTTTACCACATTGTTTTGAAGGCTTCAAAGTTGTACCAACCATTACCACAAGATCCTTTTTATATTATGATAACCCAGTTCAGTAATCTTACATTTATCATAATCAAATACTCACTGATATGCATTTGTCCAAATAAAGGTATGTCTGTGAAAAATCTTAGCATTCTCATAATTTCAACCAGACCTAAGATTCCCATATCAGTATGTAAAACACATATATATTGTTACGTATCTGCTTGCTTGTTAATTTCACATAGAAATTCTTTCCGACAAACTTCAGCAATACAAGTCCTTTCTTGATTAAAACTAGTTTATTCTTTCTTGATACAACTTTGCAATACACAGAATTTCCACAGTCAGTTTAACTTAGCTATTTTTGTAAAAACATGCCATAATTCACAGGGATTCACGCACTTTACTTATGGCTTGACTCGATTATCTCAATTATTTCTTTTCAATCTATCTCCGGCTTAT